TGCGGCTGATTTATTGGCCGCTGGTGAAGCTGGAAGCGGGCGCCGTTTTGATGTTTTCTGAGTGGGGACGAGTCGGTCAGCTTCGGGCTTGCTGGAAATGAGGCCGACCCCCAAGTTGCTGATGGGATTGGACTGACTACCGCTCTGTTGAGTCCTGAGCGGGAATGGGGCGGACGGAGCGTGGCTAGGTGGGAAGCGTAGCTGACCCGCTGGCGGCAGAGGAGATGGAGCCTGTCCACTCTCCTGCTGAAACCCCTGAGGGAACGTCCCAGACGGTCCGAGGTTTGGTGGAAACTCTGGCCTGCCTTTCGGATGCTGAGGGAACTCGTGCTGACCACTGTCCTGCTGGGACCCTTGCGAGAGCGCGCTAGTCGGCTCCCATCTGGATGGAAGCTGCGGCCGACTTGTCGTCGGCTCGAGGGGCAGCGGCTGGCCAGCGACGTGTTGAATGTTCTGCAGGGGCGGCGTAGTGAAGCCCTCGAAGGGCGGGAACTGCGGTCGACCCACCAGTGCCGGAAGAGGCGACTGCTGCCCGTTGCCTTGAGCGAGCAGTCCGACGTGTTCCTTTGGCTGTAGGGGCCGCGCCTGCGTCGCCGTCGCTGCCGCCGCCGGCTCCGACACCCCGGGGAAGCGCACGTGACCGCCGCCGCCTCGCTGCCGCTGTCGCTCCGGCGCCGGCCGGGGCCGATTGCGGCGCGGCGGCGGCGGCGGAGACGGCGAGCCCGGCTGGGGCCTGGCCGGCGCAGCGGGGCCGCCGCCGTTCTGGGCCCGCTCCGGCGCGAAGTTTCCCAGACCGACGACCCGCTGCGTGGTGACGGCGCCCGGGCCCGGCGGGACGCCCGGCGTGAGCCGGGACGGGCTTGCGCGGGCCACTGACGAACGTGCCGCCGCTCGGGCCGGGCGTGGCGACCGCCTCGAACCCCGTCGGCGGCGGGGCGGACGGCGCCACCCCCGGGAGGAACGGCGAGTCGGGCATGATCGCTGAAAGCCCGACTCCAGCTCGATCTTGGACGGCACCTTGCGCTCCGTGGGTCGCTGTTCGAGCCGGGCCAGCTGGCGGGAGGCCGGCCCGTAGCTCTGGTTCTGTCCCTGGGTCTGTGTCAGGACCTGATACAGCTCGTGGAGCGGCCTCGTGGTGACCTGCACGGTGCTGACGACCGGCGATGACCCAGCGCTCTCGACATCCGGCAAATTGTGCGGGCCGTCCACGTCGACCTCGTTTCCCTGGGCCGCGTGCGACTGCTGCCTGCGATGCGACGGTTTCGTCACGACGTCCTGAGTCGTGCTTTCTGCCGAGTTGACGGAGAGCCGGCGCAGACTTTCGGTGGACTGCCGCAAGCTGTCAGAGAACTGCGCGGTCGCCGGGGAGTGAGGCGTCAAGTGTTCGTCGGCTAGCTCGGGGACCTCGCCCGGCGGCTGCGGAGCCTCCGTGGGCCCCTCAGGATTCCTATGAACTGGAGCCGGGGTCTGGGTCGGTGGGTGTTCCAGCGGGTGAGTTAGTGCCTGCGAGGACTGCTCCGGTGCCCCTGCGGGCTGCTGACGCTCCTGTGAGCGCTGCGGCTCCGGCGCCTCCGTCGCGATTGTCGTCGTGCGGAGGGGCGCCGCGGTGACCACCACTGGCGCCGCCTCACCGCCACCGGCTCTCGGACGGCTCGGCTTCCGCCGTCTAGTCTGATCCCTGCTGGTGGGCTTCGCCGGCCGCCGGCCGCTCGTCCCGCTCTCCTCGGACTCCGTCTGGCTCGGTCGCCGGCGACGGATCTGAACACGCCTCCTGACCCCCGCCGGCCGGCGCCTCCAGGCCCCAGCGGCGCTCGGGCGTGCCGCGGCGGAGTCTACCTTCGCGTCGCTCTCGGTGGAGGACGGTGCTGCGTCATCACCCTCGGCCGACACGGCGATCGTGCTCGGTTCCTCGGTGGTCGGCCGGGCCGTGCTGGCCCCCTCCGCCGCCGCGTTTGCATGGGGCCGCCGCTGCCGTCTGCGCACGGCGAGCCGGGAGCCGGCGCCGCGCCGGCCCGGCCGGGGCCGCTCGGTTGCCCGCCGGCGCGCCAGCAGCGCCGCCAGGCGGCCGTCCGCCGACTTGCCGCCGGCTGTGATGGTGTTCTCCAGCTCGGCGTTGCCGGCGTCGCTCTTCTCCAACAGCTGCTGCTCCGCCGGCTCCGGCGTGAGCCGCTCGGCGGTCTCCGTGACGTCACCGGCTTCGCCAGCGTGGCTGGGCTTCCCGCCGGCCGGGACCGCGTCCGTCGAGGGACGCTCCTCCGCCAGCGCCTGCCCGCCGGAGCGAAGTCCCTGGTTCGTCAGCGCCGTGACGTAGTGGATCAGCTGCGCCTGCCGCTGCCGCTCGCGCTCCGCCACTTCGGGCGCCGACGCGGCGTCCGGGTACGCCACGAAGTAGCGCTGGCCGCCGGAGCGACTGGTGTGGGTGTCGGACCCGTCGGAGCTCAGCTCGAGGTCTTGCGCGCTGGTGACGTCAGACGGGACGTCAGTAGCCCGTCTGACGTTACTGTCGACTGGCTGTCCGAGCTCGGCCGGCCCCGGAGCGTTCGGAGATGGTGGGCTCGCCGGCGCTCCGCGGGGTATGTGGGTTCTAGCGGAGCATTCCAACGCAATAGTCAAGAGCAAGAGCAGCAGCTGAAAGATCGAATAAACTATTGTCAGGCAATAACGTACAGAAACATGGTCACCAACAGCGCTTGCAGTCCAACGTACTGCGATGCCATGTCAGCCATCTTATATGTCCCAGAGTTGAACCCGAAAGATTATTGTCGTAACACAGAGCTACTAAATGCAGAGTAGGGAAAACGTAAATAATTTTAGCAGGTGACCAGTCCACGCACCGCAAGCGCAGCCCACATTCGGGACCTGCCTTGCAGCCTGGACCGGTTCACAGCGCGGCGAACTCCGCAGGGACAGTTGGTCAGCTCTGTCAATGTTCTGCCGGCCGGAGCGGCCGCTCCCCGAGCGTGACGGGCTGTCTCGGCCGGGTCGACGAGCCCTTCACCCTCTGACACAGCAGAAACTTTCGCCGCCGGCCCCGTGGCGGCTACGTGTAACGCATCCGGGTACTGGGGCTGCGGCCGGGATCGCATGATGCCTGAATTGCATTGGTTAATGACAGCTTGGTTGAAAGAGCTTAACGCAGCTTACCACCTGTTTGGTTATGTTATGCACCGGTGGTGAAAGCCAGCAAAGCACAACAGCCACATCACATTACAGAATGTTTCGGCCTAAACGCTCGAGGGAGGCACATCCAACGGGAAACCCGCATTGTCCGCAGCCCGCAAGAACAACAGCAAACACGCCAGCCACTGTTTCACAGTTTGCACAATATCCGCTCCTGTAACCTCCCACGCCGCACCAGCAGGTGTCAAACAACTTTAACTAACATCACAGCGGGGCGGCTCACCGTGTTCGCGTGCGCGCGGAGCATGGCGCCGCTCCGACGGCTCGTCGCTCCGTCACTCCCAACCCGAGCTCCGATAGTTGCCGCTCCGACGTTCCTAGCCTGAGCTCCGACAGCTCGCCGCCCCGTCACACCCCACCCGAGCTCGGACAGCTCGCCGCTCCGACACTCCCGACCCGCGCTCCGACGGCCGACTCCTCCGCCGGGCGCCGGAGTCACCTCAGATATAGGTCAGCCGGCGAGTCCGCCCCCGCCCCCGTGCAACTCCGAACAATGTCGGCGGGGCCGGCTTTCTCGCTCGGTTGCGCCGCAGCCGGAACCGGTCACCGGAAGCTGCCCGGGTCGCCGCCGCGGCCCGCGTCCAGCCACCGACATCGCTCACGTTACGGGCGCGGAAACCGACGCTGTGGCAGAAACCGGACCGGGAACAGGAGGCAACGCGCTCTCCGGTGTGTGTCCGGTGTTGGGCAACTCTGCACTATGGGGTCGATGGTGTCATACGTCGGAGAAGGGAGAGAGGGGGGGGGGGGGGGGGTGAGGCGCGGGGAAGCGATGAGGTGCAGAGGAGCGGTGAAGCACTGGAGAGCGGCCAGGCGCAGTGGAGCAGTGAGGCCCGGGGGAGCGAGCGATGAAGCAGTGAGGTGAAGGAGGGGGCGGGGAGCGGTGTGAAACGGGGAGGGGAAGCGGTGAGGGCGTGAGGGGCGGTGAGTCGCGGGAAGCGATGGGGCGAGGGGGGGGGGGGCAGTGAACACGCCGGGGGCGTGTTCACTGCCCCCCCCCCCTCCCTCGTACCTCCCTCGTAATGAGGGGGAGGGTGCGGTGAGGCGCGGGGGAGTAGTGAGGTGAGGGGAGCGGTGAGGCCGGAGGTGAGGTGAAGTCGGGGGGGGGGGGGGAGTATGTTTTAATGCGCGATGAGCGTACAAAGCCGTGACGACTCACTTCTCGTAACGGGACACGATTATGTTTGTCACATGAATGCAGACAATGGTTCGTATCGAATCCACAGCCCGGAGCGAGCAATTTTACAGTATCGCCGCGGAAGCCAGGTTAAAGCCAGGTTTAACCGCAGCGAAAAAAGAGAAACAAAACTAGGAAAGTGCGATTTCAAGGCGTAAGTACGTATCATGTCAGATATCTGCTCAACGCCAAGCCGCACGATCCAACACGCTCTCATTTGTCTAAATTTTGTGACGATCTTTGACACCAGCCTCAATGTTCTGAATGTTTCGTGAGAAAGCACCCAAAACAGGTTCGAGAGGTGATGGTCATCGCAGCATCCCGGCATCTCAGTTATGCCACTCTACTCCAGTGGTACTTCAAGACCGCCCTGGCCCTGCAGCAATATGTCATCTCGCTCCGCCGACAAAAACAGGAACACGAATGGAAAGATATTTATTCTTGGCACATAAGCTGCCCACTCCTCGACACAATAAATATGCTTGTTACAAAAACACTCATTTTGCCCACCAAATGACATATACACACACAGTCGGTCCCTCTTGAGAGATACCCTGAAAGCTCAGAATCCCTGATTGCGGCGCCCCCTGCCTCCAAAGCCGCCGCCGCCGCCTCCGAAGCCGCCGCCGCCGCCTCCGAAGCCGCCGGGCCGGCCGCGGCCGCCGCGTCCCCGCCGCTCGCCGTCGCCGCCCTCGGCCCGCGCGCCGCTCCTTCATCCGGCTGAACCGCTCGGACATCTCGACCAGCCAGTCGGGCACCTCCTGCCGGCGGCGGCGCGGTCAGCGGGGCACACCCACCGTGTCGAGCCTCGGGTCAGGAGGCTCACGGGGATCGGCGCTCGGTGGGGCGTGGGGTCCAGGCGAGAGCTCAGACGCTACCGTCGCGGTCGCAAGTATTGGCAGTGTCTAGTCAGTCTTAGGCCTTTTCTCGCGTAAATTACAATTGTGACATCTTCCCTGTGCCGGGTGCCATCTGGTACAAGGTGTGCTTAACGTGACATGACAACGCTCCGCGATGGTGAGACAGACTTGAGAACACGGGGATAGGAGCAGATTTTAAGCTCGCGTAGATGACGTGTTGAGGGGAGTATCTTTGGGCCATATTTCAAAAATACACTCTAGAGAGGCTTTAGGACTAGTTACGTCTAATAACAGTAAGTGACAATAGTAATAGCAAGTGATAATATACTAGTAATAGTGAGTGATAATGTACTAGTAAAAGTAAGTGATAATAGGGACTTCAGGACTAGTTGCGTCTGATAATAGCAAGTGGGCGGCGCCACCGCAGCACCGTCAATATATAACAATAATATCCATTTCAATTGTTTTCAAGTCCAAATTACGCTGTCAGCGCCCTGTAACAGCACCACACTTCTTTCCAGCACCCGCAACAAACGTCGTCATGACAACGACCGGGCGCACTCCTACTTGCAACGAAAACCGGACGTTCATGACTGGCTCAGCAGGCGTAACTATACCGACGGACATGTCGCTTGTCAAAAGCGGAAAGCGGCATTATCTAACTTAACGACTTGAAAACACTTAAACATACGACTTGAGCGCCATTTGCAATAGCATGTGAGCATAACGTAAGTCTGTCGTCCTGCCTTCCACGCCCAACATCATATATGGACGGCTTCTTCCGTTTTGTTCCCCGCCGCTGATCCAGAGGTCCCCAACCGAACCCTCGGCGGGGATGTAGCTCAGTGGTAGAGCGCTCGCTTCGCATGTGAGAGGCCCCGGGTTCAAACCCCGGCATCTCCAAGCCGACAGTTTTAACACTTAAAAAACAAAAACACTAAACATGAAAACACAAGAATACAGCAGATAACACGCTCCAAAGCAAAATCTCCACGGGGGATACGGCGGATGGGAGGCACTCGCAGAGCTGGGGAGCGCGGCCGGTCGTAAGACTCTCAATGCCGCCAACAGCACAATCATTCCGCACATCATTGCAGAAGGCCAATGATGTCTAACAATAAGCAACACAACAGGTGGGTGATGAATGGATGACAACCTAAACTTCACCCCCGTCCTTTTGAGGACGTCACTTCCTGGAAGGGGGGACGTATCTTTAGTTTGGGTGAGGGCGAGATTTTCCTAGGGGCCTCCTGGATAAAATATCCTCCTGCTGAATGTTAAAAAAAGTGCAGGGTGCCTACTCACAGAGGGGCCTCCTACGAAGTATTGTATTCAATAGGATGGGACACCAAGAGTATGTGCCACCTTATCAACCTGCTACATATCCCAGTAAATAAACGACGACAGTAAAAGGAAAACAGTGAACCTTCTGATTACCAAGCAAAGGATCTCCCCAGCCAAAACACTTCCTGTTGCAGAAATAGGCCTCCCAATGCATAGAGAATCTCAAGTATCCAAAACAAAATGTTTCCGATTCACGAAGGGGCCTCGAAATCAAGCCATAAGGGCTCGATATTCTAAAACAGAGCATCCTGGCCCGGTGCCGCAGCCATCTGATGCCAGAAAGCGGCCTTCTGTTCCAAAACGGGGCCTCCAGAATATAGAGGATGTCTTCCAATCCAGAACAGGGGCCGTCTAACTTGTAACGGGACCTCCTTAAAGGGAGTGTTCCGCATTTAGGGGTTTGTACTGAAATAGCCATCTTAAAGACATTTCGGTGCTGTTCACAATCCTGCCCTTCTTAAGACATAAGCCCCTCTAGTTTCTGAAGTACGCGCCAGCGAAAATGGGGAAAGGTATATCGGGGTGAGTATTTCAGTCGCCTTGGCATTCATGATGTCATAATAACGTCATTCAAATCCTGTCATTCCATAACTCACGCGGCGATCAACGCCAATAAAAATATAATTGTCAAAGCGTTCATATCTGGCGTTCCCGGGCGCGATTTCCAGATATAACGGCCATCAATTACCTCTCAATCAATGTTGTGCAAGTTACGATGACTACAGGGGACTGTGCTGTCTAGAGAAGTATTTCCCAGTTAAAAAGTATGCCACTAGTTATAAGCAAGTTTGTTTCATCACATCTGATGCTTGCTTCCATCTCCTCAAATGGGAAACATTCCCTTCAACGCAACACTGGGCATATTGATCTAGAACACTGGCTACCGTATTCATAAAGGTTAGCTCATGATCCATAAAAAGGGTCTCCTGACATAGCAACGGGCCTTCTGAGCCCGGCATGTACTCTCTAGCTCAGTGCTGGTGGCCTGCTTAATCTTAATTTTAGTACTCTAAGAGTAGCTACGTTATAATGCCCTTAGTTTGGTAAAAGGGACCTCATCCATTTTTTTGTGTAGAGGGGGGGGGGGGGGATCGTCTTTCCCCTGCCTACTGGCAAAGGGGGAAAGTTAACTGCGCTCTTTGCCCCCATCCCCAACCCTGCTGTGCCGCCGCTGGCCATTCCACCCATCTCCCTTGGGCGCTATGCCATCTACCCCCGGGCGCTTACCCCCGCTATTAGTTACAGCGTGGCCATACGCGGCGGCGATTTTGACAACCACATGTGGCTCCTGGAGCCTTGCAGGGATGTATCTAAGTGGTGGAGGGCTCGCTTTGCGGGGGCCCCGGGTTCACACCCCGGCATCTTCAGGGGACCGCTTTTGGCCCGCCGAGCATGACGAACGAAAGAACCAAGCCAGCTGCAAACCTGCGATCAGAACAATGTTCCTGGACGGCCACCAGCACGGCTGTCGATTTTAACTTGTTGTGAGAGCTCAGACGCTACCGACGCGGTCGTAAGTATCGGCAATGCCTAGTCAGTTCTAGGCCATTTTTCGCATAACTTAAATTAAGTGACAGTTTCTCTCCGCCCGCTGTAGGACAAACTTAAGAATGCCAGTATAGGAGTCCCGTCTTAAACTCGTGTGGATGGCGTGTTAATGGGAGCATTGGGGCGTATTTAAAAAAACAGTTAAGTGAAACCTCAGGACTAGTTACACCTTGTAATGGTACTAGGTACTGTCACTGCAGCACCGTCAAGACATAGCAAGCACATCAATATCAATTGTTCGCAAGCCCAAATTACACTGTCAACGCTGTGTAAAAGCACTACGCTTCTTTCCAGTAGTCGCGACCGTCGTCGGCGTGACAACGGCCGTGCGCACCTCTACTGGCGCGAATAAAAGAACGTTTGTGATTGGTCCAGCAAGCAAGGACTTATTACCAAGACGTCGGTTGACCGAAGTTTGAAACTAAGCGTCACATGGATCACGTGATACACGCATTCCCAAACACAAAGTGCGCCTCGAGAAGTCAGTGTGGTGAACGCCATAGGGGGAAAAAGCAAAGCCGTAGTATAACATTTCGTTGAATTCGCGGGATAATAGCCTCATACTCGCATACGTAATAATGCATCAGATATTGTACGCTATTTAAATGTGTTTATTTATTATTTTATGACACATTTTATGTGGCTGTTCTTGTGTCTCTTGATACAGGCAGATCGGAGGCATGGCCTTATGCCGACCACGTTTTGTGTCGCTGCCCTTGTGTCTCTTGATACAGGCAAGTCAGAGGCATGGCCTAATGCCGACCCCGATGCCGAGACACCCGCACATGCTCTTTTTTTGCCGCTCACCGCCGGCCTGAGTAGTTTCTAAGAAGCATCCGTTTCTGGCAGCCCCATCTGGTCAGCTAGCTTGGGGATGTAGCTCAGTGGTAGAGCGCTCGCTTCGCATGTGAGAAGCCCCGGGTTCAAACCCCGGCATCTCCAATCAGAGCTTTTAAATGTCATGACTGGCCAACACGAGCAGCTTTCAGGTGCACAACGTCGGTGGAAACAAATAAACTCTGCTTGGATATTGTACGCTATTTAGAGAGGTTTAGCGGCTGAACACGGAATTTGTGCGATCTTTTGAATGGTAACAAGAACCTGGTTGTCATGAAATTCAATGACGGGAGTGTCTAGTTAGGTGTAGGTGCCTTCTAGTTGGGTGTTGGACTGAAGGAGACATCTTGAAGACCATTGGGTGCAGTCTACAATCCTGATCTCTGAAGACCAGAACCCTTCTAGTTTCTGAGCTACACGGCGACGCAGATGTGCAGACTTTTCCGACGGGACTATTTCAAAGTCATCCAGGTATCCATGACGGCATAATAATGCCATTCAAATGCTGTTACTTCATTGGCCATGCGGCGATCGAGGCCCAGAAAAATAGAATTGTCGATTCGTTCGTATCTGACGTTGTGAGCATGATTCCCAGACAAAACGGCTGTCAATTTGCTCTCAATCAATGTTGTGCAGGGTACGAGAAACCAATTTGACAGTGACGTGTTGAAGGGCATATTTACGAAACAAAGAAGATGTGTGCAGCGGCCCTTTCCACTGACAGCGTACCGATAGTTATAAGTCACGTCATGTCACGTATCCGATGTATGATATACATCTGGCGCTTGCTTCAGTATCTTCAAATGTGGAATATTTCCATTGAGCAGAATTATGTCGTCATGACAGGCTAATTTTTTCATTGTTCCAGGCTGCACGCGGTTATCCTGAGCAACTTCGCGGAACGGCATCCGTAGCTTTGCTGATGGCCCTAAGCATGGGCATGTCCTCTGATCGCGACTTCCCAGTTATTTTAATTCTGCCGTCCATCATGCTTGGCTGGTCAAAAGCGCCCTGTTGGAGATGCCGGGGTTTGAACCCGGGGCCTCTCACATGCAAAGCGAGCGCTCTACCACTGAGCTACACCCCCGCGAGGAATGGCCTTCCGCATGTGATATTACAAAATTGCTCCCGCCTATGCCATGCCGACTATTGGCGGGCGTTAAGTACAGCAT